CTGGCTCYTCTCGACGTGGAGGAGCAGCGGCTCTACTCTGAGTCCCTCCCGGATGACTGAGCTTCTCACCCTATCTCTAAGGGGGAGCCCAGACACCCTGTGAAGGAAACTAATTTCAGCTGCTTGTATCTGCGATCTCATTCTTTCAGTCACTACCCAAAGCTTGTGACCATAGATGAGGGTAGGAAAGTARACCGACCGGTAAAYCGAGAGCTTCGCCTTCTGGCTCAGCTTCCGCTTCACCACGACAGACCGGTACAGCACCCGCATCACTGCAGACGCAGCACCAATCCACAAGTCAATCTCCCACTCCATTCTTCCCTCATTCGTGAACAAGACCCCRAGATACTTAAACTCCTCCACTTGAGACAGGGCGACCCCCCTGACCCGGAGAGGGCACCCATTGCAAAATTTATCTTTAAAAATGGTTGATGTTCATGATTTCATTGCAAAACATAGCTTAATAATAATTAATATTTATAGTTTCTTTGCAAAAAGTAGCTTAACATTGATGTGTACGTTTGAGAGGATGACTGGGAGATAAATTACCAAGCTGAAACAKCTTATAAGAGCCTTTGTACTCGATGAATTTCTTCAAAAATTTACTTTCTGGATCCAACGTGGGATCATTCGAGTAAGGTTCAACTGTATCCTGAGTTAACATTTTCCAAAACTAATATTATATAATGTCGCTTCTTTTTTTTTACAACAAAATATAACGCTCCTACAAAGAGTTGTAAATGCATGAAGCATTGTTTTGATGACATGCTGAAGTGGGACTATCGGAAACGGTAGGAGGTTCTTATAGAGACAAGAAAAGTCAAATGTATTTTTGATATATACAGCTTTTTCATAACAACTGAAGGTAACAGTTACGTTATTGTGGTATCGAATTGAACTATGGGCCTGGAAAAGACATAATACCCCCCACCCCAATCTGAATAACATTATTTCATCAAACCTGGCAGACGGGAAWTTTGGAGTAGATCAATAAAAGACTKTCTTCTCTGTGTTTGTTTCTGAAAATGTGACCTTTTTATCACCAGTGGAGGCAGACGTGAAAGGAGTGACATCTTGTTTTTGTCGCAGCTCTGCAGTCAGATCAAGTTTCTCTGCGTTTAGCGACGAGGCGCCCACCAGCACCCGCCAGGTTCGAGGAAGGTTATCACTCGGCACGTATCGATCGCATTCCAACGGTCAGGTTCATCATGTTGTATCGACGGTCCCTGATGATTTTCACAGCCTGGATCTCAATCAGCGTTTTATAAACATCTGTAAGACAGCTGATCAGAGCTAAGGGTCTTAACAGGCTTTTAATTCTGTCTGCCGCTCTGTTACTCAGCTCATCTTAATCCTGTCGGGGGGTATCATGATGCTCAGGTCAGACTAATCGACCCAGGCCGACCTCTGGCACCAGGGAGAGCGACAGGAAGGGAGGTATTTCTGGAGCAGAGGCTATATATAGTCGGAGCCCATCTGCAGAATTGGTTTACACGTGTCTGTTTGGGCTTCTGGGTTTGTTTAAGTTTGTCTTTTCACCATTTGGCGTGAAAATCTTTTTTTTCTTCCAAGTCGTTTAATGATTTCTTTTCTTTTCTCAATTTATGAGGAATTTCGCTTCAAGTATCCTAGTTCGGTTTTACCTCACATGCTTTTTAATAATTTCTTTCTAGAACAAGAGTTGCTGACACTTTTGTAGCGGTGCATGATATTACAAGCTCAACAGTCATGGTATATTTGTGTGGGATCAAGGTTAAGTCATTCTGTGTCACCATCTGTGTTAGCTTTGTTTTGATTTAAATATAATCACGAGTATGCATATGTAAGAGGATCACATCTGACCATGTGTTCAATTTAAAATTTCAACTTTTCTGGAACAAACAATACTTAGGACTGTCATCTGTGTTTCAGTGATTGCTTATCCCCTTCCCGACCTAAAATCTTAACATTTCACCTTTTGCCATAAGCTTGTTTGTCTTCTGCCGTAATCCCAAAATGAAAAAATTAAATCTCTCAGCAGCACCAACTCACGTGTTTCCCTCCAAGATATGTTCACAAGTTAAACTGGTACATGTGATGGTTTGGATTGGATTTCAGGTTTACTCTGCTTCTTTCCTATGCACTAAACAGCACCAAGCATTTAGCTGATGTTTTGTACTCTTTGATATTATTGTTGCTTAATAAACATGTTGTGCATGGCTCATTGCTCCACCGGTCATATCAGTGCTTTAATTTGAGCCTGTGAGGGATGGAGGTAGAGGAGAAACAGTGTGAGGTCATGCTAGCTGAAAACATCAGTCTGCATCCAGCTGTCTGTGTTTCATCAAGTAGACACACACACATTTTCTCTATCCTCCTGGGGACTTTGCATTGACTTCCCCTTCCCCTATACCTAATCACCCACCCAAAATCAGCGTCCATACCCATAAAGACCAGGCTTTGGTTCCCATAAGGAGCATTAGGTTCCCACAAGGCTGTGTTTTTCTGGAAAACGGTCCACATGATGTAGCAAATACGTGTCCACACAGTCTTAAACACACATACACATACACACACACACACACACACATACACACACTCACTGCAGCATGAGTCAGCCCACATTTCCCAGCAACCATTTAAAAGTCATCAAATTCAAGCCAGTAAAATCTAAACTCTCACCTTCGTCTCCACAGCTATAATCACTTACAGTAAAAGTTACAGTGGAGGCTGCAGAGCTAGAAACCAAGAAGACATTTTCTGTTTGTTTGTTTGTTTGTTTGTTTGTTGCCTGCAGTTTTCTGTTTTTTGAGTTCAATGATAAAAAAAGTCATTGTTGCAGGAATGTAGTGAAAGTTGTTGAGGTTTTTGTCCACTCCTGGTTGTAGATTATTTCTTTTAAATAAATTAAATGTATGTTTGTTTTTTAAGATGCACAGCAGACTGCAGAGGTCCAATCAGTTATGGATGTGTTTTAAGTATATATATTTTTAATGCTTTGGTCTTGTAACAGTAACGTGAACTGTGTAACTGTGATAGATGATAACTAGATGAGCCTAAATTTAAAATTTCCTTCATTAACAGTCAAATTTAAATTCTCAGTCTCTAATAGAATGAGAAAGAATCAAGTGCATGTTTTCTTCTGATGATGCTGTTGCACTAAATTAATGTTTTGTCATTTATTTGATCTTGTTGCATAGGAGGACTATCAGTAAGTGTCGAAGCAGAAATTCAACTAAATTCAGTTTTCACTGGCTCAGAATTTGCACATTTTATTATAGCTGTGAAAAGTGACTGCTTTACTAATCCTCTGTGTTTAAACTTYAGGGCTTTTTAGCAGCACTGATCCTTCACTCTGCAATGTAAATTCCTCCTCTTTAAACTTTCTTCTAAAATTTACTTGTTTGCAACCAGAAAAAGGTGTCTGAACACCATTTGCCCTGTTTTTAAACAGTTAATCTGATTCTTTGCTTGAGGACACTTSCTGTGTTAAAAAATTATCGTCATTTGTACCTTGTTTCTTTTATATAAGGCTCAAAATGATAAAAAAAATCCAGCATTAATGCATGTAGACCGAACATAAAGCCTTTATAATGTCACATGTTTGTGTGTGTTCAGACAGCCCTGTTTGCACAGCATTGGTCAGCCCTGCTGTGAGCCACACCTCTGTGGAAAGCTGGGCGGGTCAGCTGCAGGGCTCAGGCTTTATAAGCTGGACATGCAGACTCGTGTAGTAAAACACTTCAGTCTCCGTCAGATTAAACGATAGTTTGAACTCGCCGCTCGTCGAAACCCAACTCGTGCAACACTTCAGCCACCTGTCAGAATCTGAAATGGCTACGTTCGTGTCGGTGAGTTTCTCCATCTCATCTGCGTCTGTCGGCAGCTCGGCTCAGATTTATTGACCTGTGCTGTGGGTGGTCTGTTCTGACCAGTTCTAACCTGGTCTTTGGATCTCATGAAGGCACTGATGGGACTGTAGTCACTAAGAGTCTGGAGAACTGTTGAATCAACACTAAATTGGAGCTAAATTAAAAAACTTTGCCTCAGGGAGGAAAGTTAAGCTTTTTTCTCTGCTTTTAAATAAGATAGTTGAGGATTTTTCAAACAGCAGAAAGTAAACCTTGTAGCTTTTCATGCAGGAGGTTTGAATGATTAATCTAATCATTTTTTTTTTTTAGTGGGTGATCTAATTGAGGAAAAAACTTTTCAAAAAATGCAATTTTTTGGAGTGATCGTGGTTCATATTCAAATTGATTTGCCTTTGTGTTTTCGTTAAGAAGCTGTGGATTTGTTCCTATTAAATTGAGTTGAGACAGAGTGAATGGGTTTAACAAGTGCAAAGCAGTTTTCATCCGTTTTTAATCATAAATAATGATGAGAAGAGAAGTAAATCATTAAATCATTAGACCTTTAAGTGTCTGAATGTTTTTGTTTTTATTATTTTTGCACAAAGACAAAATTGTCTGCATGCATCTGTGTGAGAACTGGTTTTAAGTGTGTCTAGCATGAGCAGATATAACCAAGATCTCCAGCTGTTTAAGTTAAATAATAAAAAGATTAATAGTATTAAGTTCACAAAGCTGACCAGCATCAGCAGTGTATGGGCAGAGCTGCACAGCAACAGCCCCATCTAGCCCTTTCACAGCTATTTTCATATCTRTGAAAACGCTGAAAGGTAATATTAAGTTTGGCGAGGCTTAAAGAAATCCTCAGCTGTCAAGTCTCAGGAATGTATTTTTCCTGGACGGCGTTGGAAACGGTCGCTCAGCTGTGGGATCACAGTAGACGTGGCTGATGTGTGAAATCTTTTGGCCTCAATCTCATAGAGCAGGGTTAACCCCGCTCGCTGTGCTGCAGGAGTCACTCAGAACCTTAAGTATGTCTGAGAATAGAAGCTRAAATGTTTGTAGTTTAAGGGCATTTGTTGGGTTTTTTTCGAGGTAACTTCACCTTAATCTCATTATGTCTGAGAGAAATGTAGTTTTAAGTGTTGTGTTCTTTTCCTCTTATTTTCTCAGATGGCCACCTGCCACGTCTGCAGCAGGACATCCAGACACAAAGGCGTAAACAGGGATTTCCTTTCTACCATCTCTAAAACCCACAGCACACCAGGGAGCGCCGGTAAGAACAAGACTCCTCAGTCCAGGAGCGGGTCTAACAGCACAACCCCCAGACCTCYTGGAAAAAGTCCTGCTAACACACCCAGGTGAGTACCCTCCGAGTTAAACTTTAAATACAACCCCACCTAGCTAAACTGAGAACTAGCTTTATTCGCAAGAAGATCTATTTGAACTWGTTTCCTGTTTGATTCCTCCCTGCAGATCCTCCATCTCCTCCAATGTGTCAGGATCGAGCTCCACTTCCTCCAAGTCTTCCTCGAAAACGAAAAACTGGGTCGTCCAGCGTCTCAGCAAGATCCTCCTGCGAGACGACAACCAGGGCASCAAGAAGGGAGGCCTGAAGGATTTCCTGTCCTCACTTTGAGCATCTCTCAAATGCACTTTATTTTATTGTAACTCTTAAAAAACAAGAGTAGGAGTCTCTTATTCCACCTTGTTTTCTCCTGAGGCTAAAGGGAAACTGACTTAGGTTTCTGAGCCGACTTGGTGGGCTGATTGGGGTGGCGCTCCTGAAATCCTGATGGTAAGGACTGAGAGCACGGAGCTTGTAACCTGTTAACCTGTGTTCTTTTTATTCAGGTCGAGGGCAAAACCTCCTCTGTCTAATCTAAATCACGTATCTTGTAAGCTCTCAAATTGGAGTTTTCACTCTTAGTATTTTCACTATTGCAGCATTTTGCTGTGGCACAACAAGCTGATGTTCATGCCATTACCTTTCTCYATTTTTGTTATTTTTATACATTTAATCAGATATTTTTAAAGGGGAATGTATGTGATCAATATTCATCACATGCAATGATAACACATATGTTTTTGTTGAATCACTTTTAGATTTTTGTCTTCTATAGTGAGAAAATGAGTACGTGCATTTGTATAAACAGACAGACAGAGGAATAATTTATTTGCCATGATGTTTTTAAATGTGAAGAAACTAGATTATATTATTTGTACTGGTAATTATAATTTAGGAGGAATTTCATTAGTTCATCACATTGTACAGTCACTTCTATCTAAACTCTTTACAGAAAGAATTTATTATTCAGTGTTTTGTAAACTTTAGAAAGATGCCAACCCACAATGAGAACCTCATTGTCTTATAAAATCCTTTGCTATATTATGTAAATGAAAAACAATTTACCTTGTGCATTTTGTATTGGCTAAATCTGTACACTGTTGTAAATATTGCTCGATGAATAAGATGTCGAAATTTTCAAATACCTCACTTTTATATTCAAACTGCTGTTTGCGATTCTCAAATTAAAACCTTTTCACTCAAAAATGTTCTGTTTGTTATCTGAAGTTTTTATTGATACATTTTTATATACAGCATACATGACTTGCATTGTTTGATTTTTTTAATTAATTAAAGCTGTATTTATTATCATAAGGTGGTTCTTGCACCACATCTTGCTTACCTGACACACAAATAGGTAATTGTTTAGGAAGATATTGTACAAGACCCCAACAGTATAAAGCTCTGGGGCTGAATATCCTTTGCTTTTATTAAAACAAAGTGTGATCTTYGGAAATATTACTTATTCAAGAGCTTGATTGAAAATAATTCAACATTTCTTTTGTTGTAAGTCATTCAAGTAACCATAAAGAGAGCAAATATAACTAAGTATTTACTAASAGAAGATTCGAGCTGTCTAAAAATWCTTAAACACAATGTGGCAATAAATGTGAAAATATGGCAGCAACTACAGTGGTGATTCAAAACATCTAAAAAATGGTAGGTCTGTTTAAAATTAAAGCAATATAAGACGTAAAGAGATCATTTCACTTGTAAAAGAGATCTTGATCACAATGTTTTTATTTATTTATTTGGTCAAATAAAGATGAACTTGCTTCGAGATAAAATGACCCAAATGTAAAGAATGTTATGCCTGTTGCCTGCAGGGGGCGCTCGACTCTACTAATCCACCCAGCTGGACCGGAAGTAGATCCGTTCCGCCGCAATGTTTGCTAAATAGCCTGTTAGCAGTGATGAGACCAGACTGTTTACAGAAGTTTCTAAGTAAAGGTGTCTTGCACGCATCACAAAATATACCCGAGTTAATGTTTTTGAGGGAGAACTGTCCGTTTGCGTCAAAATGTCGGACAGAAAGCGAAGAAGAGAGAAGGAGCGCGAAGACAGACGAGAGCACAARAAACACAAGACGCCCAAACATGAGATGGAAAAACTCCACACACAAACCAAGAAACTCAGCCAAGAGGTTCAAAAACTGAAGCATATCGAGACTTTGTGAGTAAATTTAATGTGTTTAGAAGCACGCACACGGAAGTATGACTTTTAGAAACGTAAAAACTATCACATCTCGTTTTTTGCAGCTATGAAAAACCTCCACCAGGTTATATAAAGGTAATGTTTTGCTGACTGTAAAGAGTGCAGACACGACATACTATGTTTAAGGTTATTTTTGAAACATTTTAGTGTTGATAACAATGATAGTTTTCTGTCACAGGAGTATGAAGAGAAACCAGAGGACTGTATTCCTGCTGATCCGGGGAATGAAGACGCCAGAAACTTCCTTGCTCACGCCCCCACCAAGGGGCTCTGGATGCCTTTGGGAAAGGAGGTGAAAGTGATGCAGTGTGAGTATATTAGCCAAATTTCTATTGTGTATTTGTTAATTTATAGCAGAAGTATTGAATACTCATTCTGTAGTTGTATACACATAAAAAAGTAAAAATGCTGAACTTAACAGCACCTGGGGTCTCATTTATAAAGGATTGYGTGGAAACCATACTAAAAGTGAACGTACGGACAAAAGGCRGAAATGGCATACGCCAAAAAAAATTCAGATTTATAAAACAGTGCGTACGCATGTTTCTGCGCATCTTTCCTTTATAAATCACAGCCACACGTCAGAGTTTGCGCACAAGGTCCCGTCTCAGGTTCTACCCTCTACACACCCACATTCAACCATAAACAGTCAATGTAAAGTACCTCATGAATGTTAAAGATTTATTTAAATCAGTCAGCTGATCAATGCCAACAAAAGTGATTGGTTCAGACGCTCCGTCGTGCGTCTGGAGGTTGACAGGTGCTGACTGACAGCTGCTCACGTGAACAGAATGTCT